AATCCGATACATTTAACCGTAAAACAGTACCTACAGAGAAACTGAATAAATAAATAAACATGAATCTAGATAAATCAGTAATACATACGCAAATATTGTAATACACTGAACGTAATTTTTCTAAGCGTAATCCTCAATAAACCAATGTCGGTTATAGAGAAAACAATCCAATCAGCAAATCCCCTGGTAAATAAATAAATATTTTTGTATCCAACATAAGTCCCGAGCGTACAATATTATGTAAATGAATACAAGGCGAAATTAATTCCTAAATTTAACGAAAACAGTAACGTTTTTCGTATCTTTAGAGTTATTTAATTTATTAGAAATTGATTTACATTCTTATTTCACTGTATTGATCGTAATTGAATGTAATAAAGGGTTTTTCGTTTTGTTATTCGGGGTTTATTATCGCAAAATGGGTTTAGCTGTACTAAGCCATCCGGGTGATGGAAGGCCGGCTATCCTCGACCCACGCTGGTTCTGACCCAGCGGGGTATTTCGTAGGATAACCTATTCAAACCGGCGTCATCTAGGCGGGCTTCGGACAGCCTGCCGACCGAGAGGGCTGGTGGTCGTGGCGCCGACGATCGCTGGCCCGGCGTCCCGAGGGCGAGGGCGATGGGAGAGATGTGCTCCGCACTAAACGCTTCACTCTCCTCCCCTTGCCTTTTCATGAGTTCTGTCTCATGCGAGGGTTGGACGTTGGTTGTTGAGCGACAGGAGGTTTTAGTCGGTTGGACTCCGACATGCCCCACCCTCCATCCCCAGTGGAGGGTGGGTGGGAGTCCGGCGATTTCCTCCTGACAAAAAAAAAAAAAAAAGCTGTACTAAGCCCTTCAATAGCTATCGAACTGAAAATTTAACTAAAATAACATCATAGTATAAATTATTGTGTGTTGGAGTTATGAGGCTTGGGCAAGATTTGATGAGTTTTCGTATTCTATATTTTTGGAATTTCTTTGCATTTTTGTCTCACTCCGTTCTATATAAACAATATATACTGGTCTGAAACATATATTTATAAGAAATCAATAGTTATTTATTTAATATGTCTGTAAGAAGTGTGGAAATCTTTCTGTGGAATTCTTTAATTTAATATGATAGCTAAAAACTAATAAGACTTGATGATACGAATATTCGTAATAATTTCTCTTACTTTTCAATAGCCATTATCGAATAAAAACAAATCACGAGTAGATATGAGAAGCTCAAATACTGAATAGAGGCAATCAGTGCACCGAGGAGTCGGCTATAGACAAATTACTGTATTTAAGTTATTTGTAAAATAATTCCATTAGTTTCTTCTTCAATGCGTTGTTCTTTAAAAAAAACCAATTGGTTTAAAGAACAACTTATTGATGTAGTTTTTTTAGACCTAGCTCACGTTTGTATGTTTGTAACTGATATCTTACATACATCATCTATCATTAGTAGTGATTATAAAATTACTTTTATGTCTAGCCCGCTTTTTGTTAGGTTATTACTCTTTGGATTGGAAATCCATATTAATTATGTCAATGAGCAATGACGGACAGAAAAATATTAGGTAATTTTTATTATTAAATAATTTAAAAGCTTCAATTGAATTTTTAAATCCACAATAAACATTTTTACTTTACAGTAGCTTTTGCTAAATACGGATATCATTTTAAACGACCCATTATACCGGTACTTACGAACTGTCTAGAAATACCTCAACCGTATTCGGCTAACAACCGCAGACAGCGTTCGATTTCCGTTTAATTTCACAACGACCGCGACTGCCGTGTCTGGTCTGTACATAGCTCTGTACATTGTGTACTTCCGTCACACCGACTACGACTGTTGGCTAATCATGTTATAATGAACGAATGGAAACGGAAGTTCTAGGGTCGGGATGCAGTGGACGTAACTGTGGACCCATATTAATCACAAAACGATCCAGTTACAAATAAAACTTATGAACATACTGTGTACCTTATTTTTTATGACTTCACAGGGAATGGATAGCGGATTACTTAGTTCAAGATATTAAACTACAAGGTCACCTGTATTGAAGTGATTACTGGAAGACATAGACCGCTTTTAAGAATTTTAATGCCCATCTTGATAAAATATTTCGAAGCTTTTGTTGTATTACGTCTACCCCGCTCTTCAAACGTACGCTCCTTTCGCAGATTCTCAGAATAATAATAAGTTATGTTACCTTTTTTTATGTTGGCGAAACCATTTACGGATACCTGGTCGAGAGGGGTAAGACCGAAGTCCTCCTCTTTTTCCAATTCCTGCCGAGAGACTACGAGACTACTTCTGTTACCTAAAGTGTCTATTGTAGTATTTATTTAAACAACTTCTTTATTAACTTCACAATCTCAATGTAATCAATTTCTATAATTTACACCCACTGTAACAGAAGATATTAAAATAAGATAGTAAAAATATCGACAATCGGTGAAACTTCGTCATCGTAATTATACTTGAGACCTTAGAACTTATATCTCAAGGTGGGTGGCACATTTACGTTGTGGATGTCTATGGGCTCCAGTAACCACTTCACACCAGGTGGGCTGTGAGATGGTCCACCCATCTAACGATAAAAAAATAAATAATATTGAATATTTTTACTACCATGATTTAAGATTATCGTTACATTTATTTTCATTATTCATCTGGATAAATTTGGGAACGCGTCTTACAAAACCTGTCTTTTCTAACAATGTGTTCTGGATGTCCTTAGACCGTCTAATGTCCTTAGAAATTAAATTTAAAAAATTACCTCAATTTCTAAACAGTGCGTATTCTAATTGTGTTTCTAGTCTTTTTTCTTAGTGTACAATAAGCTAAGTTTTAAATAATATATCCACTTTAACCATTATCTAAGAAAACAATATCTACAAAATAATATGTAATGCCGTATACTAAAACTCAAAACTTTTATTAGCAACATCTTGCGGGCCAAAGATAACCACAAGGAGATCACTAAAAGTTTTCATTGTGTTCCAAACTAGGGACTCGGTAAAGTTTACGAAGATAGTATCAATTTAATATAACTAGGCTAAATGAAATTCAGAATGATGTCACAAAATTCAAATTGGTAATGAGTATCGTAATCATGCGATAACCTTCAAGACGTCACTGATTCGAGATGCAACAATTACTGCCTGATATATGTGTATTATATATCTATACTAATTTATAAATCTAGTGCTTTTTACGGATGTTCGGTTATAGCTACTAAACAATGCATCCGATTGACTTGAAACTTGGTATCCATATAGAAAATACATGCACTTAATGGATAGGCTATTATTTATATGAGTGTTGGACTCCCTACACCAGTTGCGGGGGCTTTAATGATGAGAATCTTTGTAGGGGTGAGAAATATGGTTTTTCTTGTTTCCGTCATAATTTCAATAAAATCCGTTAGGTGACATAAGAAGTTTATGTGCATTTTTATATACTATAATATATTTAAGGACTTGGACTAGTATTTAATAAAAAGCACTAAACTTAATAAAATTAAATATATTAATTATATTAATAATTAAAATAATTTCATTAACCTTCGACTTCAAAGCTAAAACTTAAAACTAATTAGATGTTTGCAAAATACGATTTAATTTACCCAATCAAAGCTAAATGATTCTCCTGTCAACAGCGTCACAGCTCTACAGTTTAATAAAAAAATTACCATATTATATTTAAGCAGATTTGTATTAGCCATTTCAGAATCCATTTCATCAATAGAACCATTTTTTTCTTGTGCCTCTATAAGCTGATTACCAAGAAGTATTATTTTTGTGAGTAATACAATAAAAGTTCAAAGGGCACGCTGGGTAGAAAGAAAGTTTTTATTGTATGAAGTCTATATTTTACCCTTTCTTTACCGAAACATAAGAATTAAAGTACAGCGATACGTATAATTACATTTTTTTTACATTTATTTACATTTATTTACAGTAGGCAGCGGCTTGGCTCTGCCCCTGGCATTGCTCAAGTCCATGGGCGACGGTAACCACTCACCAACAGGTGGGCTGTATGCTCGTCTGCCTACAAGGGCAATAAAACAAAAAAACAAATAAAAGCAATTTACCAGTGAACCTTAACTGCTAGTTATAAAGTAAATACTACTGCTATAAGTTACAATACTTGATAGAGATAGCAAAGTAGAAACCACTTAAAGTGTTCATTGTATTTCGAACTTAGAGCTTGTTGAAGTTTGTAGAGATACACAATAGACTGAACCTTACCTTAAAAAATGAGCTGCGCTGTTTCTGAATGGCTGCGGTTTTGCTTTAACCAAGTTAGTTATTACATCTACAACGTTGCTAGAAATGTTTCTATAGAAACATAGCGTTTTATGTTTGGGTGGCTTAGTTGGAAACACAGCTTTATTAATTACTATGACTTTACTTTATGTACTGATATATTTTAACTTTATTAAATAATACTATGAAATAAATTTTTTTATTGCTTAGATGGGTGGACGAGCTCACAGCCCACCTGGTGCTAAGTGGTTACTGGAGCCCATAGACATTTACGACGTAAATGCGCGACCAACCTTGAAATATAAGTTCTAAGGTCTCAGTATAGTTACAACAGCTACCTCACCCTTCAAACCGAAACGCATTACTACTTCACGGCAGAAATAGGCGGGGTGGTGGTACCTACACTACCTACCCGTGCGGACTCACAAGAGGTCCTACCACGCAAATTAGAATTTTTGCGGGTTTGATTTTTATTACACGATGTTATTCCTTCACCGTGGAAGTCAATCGTGAACATTTGTTAAGTACATATTTCATTAAAAAAATCGGTACCCGCCTGCGAGATTCGAATACCGTTACATCGCTAGATGCGTATGCACCGGACTTCTTATCCTTTAGACCACGACGACTGCAAGACCACGACGACTAGATGAATTTAAATTCGACTTTTGTTCAACACATAAGCTTATTATTTGGTCTTGTTTATACCTAAATACTTATATTGATGAAGATTTATTTATATTGTTACAGCAGTTAGTGCTTCACCAGAACCAAGAAAACCGCTGACGATGCAAGAACCTCCACACCACGTCGAGTTCAGTAACGATACCGGAGTTATTCTCAGTTGCAGCACTAGTAGAGGAGATTTTCAAGTAAGTATATCTGTCTGACTAACTTACGCAGCAGTACTGAATCCTGTAAACATGAACATTTGAATGGAGGAATCATTAGTTTTAGTATCTTAGTATAAATAGCACTGTTTTCTGGACAGAGTAAAATAGAACTGAAGCTTATTTTTATTGCAGACTAGCGGCCCGCTCCGGCTCCGCTCGGGTCTTTAACAAAAAATTCAACGATATTTGACGTTGTTTTATTTTTGTAAACAAAAGAACACTTGTTGCGGCATAAGTATAATAGTTAGACATATGCTGTCGCGACACTTTTTGTAAATATTAATGTGTTCTACAAAGTCGTAGTACATTATTTTATTCTATCATCAATAGTTTTCGCAGGGCACGCCAGGTAGAGAATATTTTAGGTAATTTTTTTACACCTTGGGTTACATTATTGGAGTTTTAGTAAGGATTCCAATTTTTTTTCAAAAAAGATTATATAGCCTATGTCGTTCGGAAATAGTGTAGCTTCCAAGCATTGAAAGAATTTTTTAAATCGGTTCAGTAGTTTTGGAGCCTATTCAATACAAACAAACAAACAAATCTTTCCTCTTTATAATATTAAGTATAGATAGTCTAGACAAAACAAGTATAAATAAATCGCCAGCATAATTAAAATAAAAGATACAATAGGCATTTGCTTAGAGTAAAATCTTCGAGACAAATATTGAGAGAATATAAGATAGGTAGGCAGCAGTTTGTTTGTTTGGTATTACTGACGTCCGTGAAGGATAGTTTGAACATGCGTCTGCCGACAATGACTATTAAAAAAAATAGCTACTACCATCTGATGCTAAATTAGGATTCCCAGTAAACAAAGACAAAGATGAGAAAGAATATTGAAGTGTGTTTAAATATACGTTTATGAGTATCTATCACCCAGACAAATAGCAAATTGTTCTTAAGAATGTTTGTAAGAAGTGAGAATCGAACTCACAACCCTGATGTATCAGATTATGGTGGCCAAAAACTGATAAGCCTTGTAGACACGAATATTCGTAATAATTTATCTTACCATTCAAAAGCTATAAGAAGGAAAACGAACTACGAGTGGATATGAGAAGCTCAGAGACTGAATGAAGGCAATCAGTGTGCCGAGGACCCGGCTATAGATAAATGATCGTGTAGATAGATACACGATACTACAAACAAAGGCAATAAAAAAGATACACTTCTGTTCGCATTAAATTAATTGATATACTTTAAATTATCTAAAAGAATATGAAATACTTAAGTATGAATCAGAATTTTATTTCGAAACCTAAAGATACTACTGATCACATACTGATTTGATATCTGAAAAATATAATTGCGTCGATTGGATTTAAAAAAAAACTGATAATACCAAATATACCATTGAAATAATGGACTGAACCAAGAATAAAGCTAAAGTTTATTGTTAGGCTCAAATTAAATTCGATCACGTATTGAGCAATTGATAAAACGTCAATACTTAACCTCATTACACTTCATCGACTTTTAATGCGCCCAATTTACAAAAAAAAAATACAAATAAGATTATGTAAAAGACAATTTTTCTGCAATTTCTTTTCGTAACGTCAAAGCGTTCTCCGCTGTTCCCTTTTATTGCCCAATTAGCCTTATAACACAATCGCTTTCTTTTTGTATTTTGCGAGTATCAACCTAGATGCGTATAACTAATGGAATGAGCCGGAATAAGCAATCATGACTGCATGTGGCTTTAACCGACTGTCTCGTTTAGAGTATTTGCCTATGGGAAATTTTCTATCTCTAAAATGATCTATACTAATATATAAATCTACAGTGGTTTTTAGAGATGTTCCGTTATAACTACTGAACCATACATTCGATTGACTTGAAACTTGGTATCCATGTAGAAAATACATGTACTTAATGGATAGGCTAATATTTATATGAGTGTTAGACTCCCTACCCCAGTTGCGATGGCGTTAATGATGAGAATGTTTTTGGGGGTGAGAAATGATAATGTTAATTTTAAATGCCCAGCGAAGCGGTCGGGTACAACTAGTTTTTTAATAAAACTTTAGTCTCCTTTCGAAATAAATCTTGAAAATAGAAGCCTTAATATTTTATTGTTTGATATTTTCGTGTATCTACATAAAATTGATGTCATTGAAACTTTATCGGTACCGAAAATCAAAATTACCACCCAGTCTATTTTTAGCGCAAAGTGGTTTAACAATCCACCGTGAAGGGTGAATCAAGCATTAAATTTTTATTTTTGCTTTCCCATATAATTAGATGCTCTTTACGAGGTCTTACGGACTTTTAAAATACAGTCCAGAGCTTAGTCTGTCAAAACCCAAAATACGTGCGCCACAAGCGTAACTTATTGCAAATGTGATGTAGCATTCGCAAAACCTTTCCGTATTCAAATACAAATAAAGTTTTTTCATTCGGTAAAGTTAAACGAAAAGTTTTCGGTGCGCAGAGCCAACCGGGAAATAACTATATGCGCATCAATAGTAGCGGTTTCATAAATATGAAAATTGCAGGTAACAGCGCTCAGTGAAATAACGAATAGAATCCGAATTCTTGTTCCGAGAATATATATTATATTTTGCGTTATATGACATGCCTTTCTTCAAACGAGGGTTGTGGAGAACACTCAATAGTAGACAGCGGCTTGGCTGTAAGCCTCGCGTTGATGACATCTTTTTGTTTCCCTACCTATGCTGATAGCCTTGAGAGGCTATTTCAGCCTCTCCTTAACGTGTAGGTGAGCTCACGGGGCTCAAACCGGGAGTGTCACCAACACTGGTCCTAGCAAGAGCAGTGCTTCGCAGAATCTACCACCGGATCGAAAACTTAGTAGGCTGTGTCTATGGTTTAAACATCCATAAGCAACGGTAACTACTAACCACTAGGTTGACCATCTGCTCATATACTGACATAGACCAAAAAAAGTGTCAGATATACTAACCAGCACCAAACCAACGAGGAGATCAGAGTCTCTATTCGACTTTAATAATAGTAAAATGATTTTTATTCTCGATTAATTCTACTCGTATAGTTGTCTTCGTAATTGAAACAGGCAACATTCTCGTCTGCCTAGAAATGAAAAAAAAATGCTTAAATAGTAAAAAAAATAAAAATAAAAAAAAAACATTGTAACATTGTGCTCAGTATAAACTCAATTATGAATAAACAAAAATGTATCACCTCTTAGTTTACATTAAATAGAGAACGTCTATTTAATCGTAACTGTCAAACGAAAAGGCAAAAAGCAGTAAATAAAACGAAGGTCTTTACGTGGAATTAAAGTTAAAACTCTCTAAGAGGAGTTGTTATTTGGAAAGTTTTCACATTCACTGGAGTTGGACGGTTTTTGACGTAAAAGCGTGCCCTGGGGACAGACTCACCTGCCTTAGTCCCAGCCTTCAGAATTCCACGATTAATTCCATAATAACTTCGCAATACTGAAATTTTCTACGAGTAAACTTTATTCCGCGTGCGTAGAGTGCTCAAAAATATTAATTTAATACGTCGATGTGAATGGCGTTATATAATTGGGATAAAAAAAATACAACTGACAAAAAATCAGGAATTCGAAGTTAGGAGGACAACTTTGTTAGAGTATGGTTAATATCAAAAAAGATTTTCTTAGCAAAACCGAAAAATAAGAAATTATGACCTAACAGGAAAAAAATGTATGCCGATTGAGTATTATTTTTAAAAGTATTTTAAGGTTTTTTAAGTTTCTTTTTATGATTGAAATATTGTTTACGTTGTTTCTAAATGTGTAAATTATTTTTTATTGATTAAATTATTAAACCGTAAAAGTAGTGTTAATTATTTCTACGACGAGAAAAAACAGAAAAAAAAGCCCGCTGAGTTTGTATCGCCGGTTCTTCTCAGGACTGTGGTTTTTTTTGGAACCGATGGTAGAGTTAACATTGTTATTTATATTTTGACATTCAACAAGTGTGTTATGCTGATATCTAAGTTGAAATAAATGATTTTGAATTTGAATTGAATTTGACTCGCGAAAGCCGAAGAATAAACTGACTAAATGTAAGTGTTCTACATGTGACTTGAAACAGAGTGACCGATTGAAAGAGCATCGCTCTGACTTACCCACGCTGGTCAGGCCGAGTGGGATATCCTCGGAATCTGAGTAGGTGGCGCCCGCGAGCTTTGTCTTTGTCGAGTTCTGAACGCTTCAAACGTAAACCGCTTCTGGACCCACAGTCTGACGATGTGGTTTTAGTATATTAGACTAACACGGTGGTGCAGCAGTTAACGCCCCTGACTGTTGCGCCGATGGTTGTGGGCTCGATTTTCACATCGGGCAAACATTGTGTGATAAGCTGTACCCATAACATGGAGAACCCTACATTGGGGCCGGATTACCGTGCGTGATTTGTACCCAATTATTATTAACTAGCGGCCCGCCCTGGCTTCCCTTGAAAGTAGCGCACGCGATGTAAAAAATTTTAGGTAATTTTTCTACACATTGGATTTTCAGTAAAGATCTCCAATTTTTTTTTAAATGTAATAAATATAGCCTGTGTCACCCGGGGATAGCGTAGCTTTCCAACAGTGAAATAACTTTTTTAAATCGGTTCAGTAGTTTCGGAACCAATTCAATACAAACAAACAAACAAATCTTTCCTCTTTATAATATTAGTATAGATATTGCTTAAAATATTTTTTCTCCAATATTCACGTAGCCTTTAGGTGCACATACTCGCAGGCTCCTAGCTGTTAATCAAAAGGAAATCAGGAAACTTCGCGTAATTTCCTGTAACGGCCATCAAAGTTTCATACACTTGGGATTTTCTTTCTTCAATATTTTATCTCCGGCAACGTATTTCCAGTTGACAGTTAGTATTATTCGGCTGTCAATTCTCAGCTTATAAAGATAAGAAAATATTATTTCTGATAAAAATAAAAACCATTAGTTCTATAAAAAGCGAACTCATTTCTGGAAACTACTTAATTATGAAATATAATAAAAGTGATCTTATACTGAA